CGCTGGCCCCGCAGCCCCTCACAAGGGCTCCCACGGGCCCCGCTCCCCGCCCAGGGCACAGCCTGCGCCCCCCGGCCCGGCCCGAGGCACCCGGCGTGAAACGGAGCCGGGAAATTGCTGAGCTTTTGTGTCGGAGCCCCCGGCCCCGCTGAGCGCAGGGGAGCCAGGGCAGGGCCCCGCTGCCAGCCCTGCTGCTCTGCGGCTTTCCTTCAGAAAATGAAATGAAAAAGAAATTGTCACTCCCCAGGCCCAGCTCCCGAGTGCCTTTCTCCGGGAGAAGAGGTCTGCGGGGTGGGGAGAGACCAGACGGGATGACCCTTGTGTGGAGCTGGCTTGAGCTGGACCCAAGGGTGTCCTGGCCATGGTCCTCCAGGCTCTGCATCCCCAACATCCCTAGGCAGAAAAAAGAAATACTTTAAGCAGCAAATTGAGCAGCTGATCAGAAAATGAGAGGTCTGGAGCACATTCATCACCCTGCGAGGGGACAGCAGCTGGTGCAGACCTGGGTGACACCTGGGCAGGTGTGAGGCACTGGCCCGAGGGGTGGGACATCACCCGAGCAGCCGCTCCCCCGGGCACAGGCTGCCGGGCAGGGCAAGAAGCAGATGCAGAGCAACCCAAGTGCCAGTGGGCTGTGCTTTTGTGATTCAGAACATGCAGCGTCTCTTTTTTCCCGTGTTTTAAGGCTGCATTTGTGTTTGAATGCCAGCGGGATTTGCCAGTCGAGCCTAGGCTGCTCTCCACCCGGTTTATACCTTCCCTCTAAAGGCCTGGCGTCGCAGCCAGCCGCTGGACAAAGCCAGGAGCACAAGTGGGAGCAGCAGAGCTTGCTGAGGAGGAGGTTTCTCACAGCTCTCACCGCCCGCCTGACCAATATCAGTTGAAGCCCATTGAGAGGGAGCTGGCGGGGGTCCCCGGTGGGTGCCAGGGATGGAGTGAGATCCTGAATGACACGGGAAAGGGTCGGGGTCCCCTGGCACACGTGGAGGGGGGCAAAGCCCAGCGGTGCAGGGCTCTGATGCTGCTGTGGGAGCTGCAAAGCCAACCCGGCCGGGGCTGCCGGGGCTGCTGCTCCCAGCACACCCACTCCTCGACCCTCCTTTCCAGCTCCTGCAGGTGGTCCCCTCTCAAAATTGGTCTCTTTTTTATTTTTTACTTTTTTTTTAACTATTTAGCTGCTTTTGCGGCTCCAGGATTTTATGGATGGAAAGCTGAAAGTAATTAGTGCCCCTCCCCCGCTTCCTGTTGGGAAAAGGAAGAAAAGCACACACAAGAGCAAACCCAAAACTTCCTGCCCTGCTTAATAATCGAGTAATGAGTCCAACTCGGCTGGGAAAGTCAGTTTATACCGGGTGAGCTCTTAATTAAAGAAGGGCCGAGCAGCAGCTCTGCTGACTTTTCCAGGCACACACATCTCGCTGCTCCGAGCAGCCCCGGGAGAGGCGCGGGGAGCCGGGCAGCCGCGGGCCGCAGGGGGATGAGGAATCGCTCCCTTTCGTGCCCTGGAGGAAAGCAACGCCCGGGAGATGGAAAGGCGGGGAGAGGAAAGCGCAGCTCCTGGGGCAGGCTGGCAGCGAGGCTGGCTGCGGGCTCTGAAGCAGCCCGGAGCTGGGGGAGGTGGGAAGGTGCACGGCAGGTGCTCTGGGGCTCTGGAAAGCCTCCAGGGGCAGCCCCTGCTGTGCCCCAGCCCTGCGCTGACAGGGGATGATGTGTCAGCTCTGTGCCCACCACCCACATCAGCTCCCCCGGCCCGCCGGGAGCTGCGGCCGGCCCGGGCAGGCTGAGGGACACGGGGACAGTGCCCTGCGGAGGGACCCGCTCCCACGGGGGGCTCAGGGACACGGGAGAGCCGCAGGTGCTCCAGCAGCTCCCTGGGGACACCAGCACCCACCCGAGCAGGCCGGGAGGGACACAGCAAAGTCCTGTGCTTTCCCTTGTGGAACCTGGGGGATCCCCTGCACCCCCGGGAGATTCTCTGCGCCCCCAGGAGATCCCCTGTACCCCCGAGACATCCCCGGGAGATCCTCTGCGCCCCCACCCTACCCCACAGCTGCCCCAGCCCTCTGGCAGGAGCTGATGCCGCCCGACTTTTCCCCTCCCGAGCGGCAACTGCTGCACACAATCCCTGCGGCAAATTCCGAGTCACCTGCAGCCAAGAGCACCAGGTGGGAGCAGAGCTGAGCCCTGCAGCCGGCTCTGCACAGCACTCCCTTACTGCTGAACATTCACCCCAAGCACACACAAAACCCTACTATAAATTAACGATTTTATTGAATATCAATAAACTGTATATCATTATATAAAAAGTTTCATCAGTACAAAATTGTGGCACAAAAATATAAATACCAGTGTACCTTTGAAATGTAAACATCTTCTTTGTAATGATTTCCATGCAAACAATGTCCAAAGAAAGATGCATTCAGGAGGCACCTGTCAATACCCATAAATAGGGCTTTTGGCACACACCTGTCGATGGCCAGCCTTGGGACAGGCCACCATTGTATCAGCTGACAAGTGCCTGCTATTAGTCACAGTTCTCTTGAAAAGCAGTTGTTAAGAGTCATATTAACAGGTGCTTGAGTGCATAGCTGCTCTGTAAACAGGGCTGGGGTTTGAAATGGCTACCCCTGCCTTTCATGGACACTGTTAATCTCGCAGGCATTGCAAATTGTCATTGTGCTGGGGAGAAGCAGCTGCTTCACAACTACTGGGATACTGTATTATTGCATAGTTACACCTTCTACAGGCGGGTTATATACACTTGGGGTACGGGGGGAGTGTCTTGTCCTTCATTTAAAAAAATACTGGTTCTTAAAAGTTACCGAGTGGTTATGGTGTTAAAAAAAATAAAAAAATAAAAAAAACCCCAAACATATCGAACCCAAAGCCCCCAGCCCCCCAGGCTACATGGTCGCAGTGTTCAATAGCAGTGCGGGTCCAGCCCTGCAAGGTGCCCAGTGCCTCTGGCAGGGGCTGGGGCAGCACCGTGAGCCGCACACAGCCGGCACCGAGCCCAGCACTGCAGCCCCCCGTGCCGGGATGGGAGAAGGGCTCACAGCACCAAGCCTGTGGCACTTCAAGAAGCGTGTGCTGGGGTTCTCGGGATGTCCTGCACGGGGCCAGGAATCGGACTCGATGATCCTGACGGGTCCCAACGCAGCACGCTCCGTGGTCAGGCTCTCGCATTGCGCCGGAGGCACCGAGTGAGGAGTGGGAGGCTCCCAAGGGCCAGAGCAGCAGTGTCCAGCCCGGTGCACACCGCAGTGGCCATGGAGGAAACTAACTCCTACAGAAACTAGTTATAATATAGGTATTTGTGATGCGAGAGGCGTGGGGAGCCGAGTCCTCAGCGAGAGCCAGAGCAGCCCGTCTCCTCATGCTTGTGGAGCAGCGACATGCGGGAGAAAGTCCGCGAGCAGGTTTTGCACTGGTACTTCTTTACATCTGAATGGGTCTGCAGGTGGGCGCGGAGATTAGAGCGGTCAGCAAAGGCCCGGTTGCAGTGCGTACAGGAAAAGGGCTTTTCACCTATAGGACAAAGAGAAACGCTCCCAATTAACCAGTGCATCAACACATGGGGAATATCAAAGAAGGAGCCATTCATTAGCCAAAGTTTGTGCAGAGCACAGTGAAAAGAAGTGCTGGCTGTTATTGTTCGGGGGGAAAGCCGGGTATGCACAGCATCGCTTGGGGGAGAACTGCCAGCTTGGGAACTGTCTGCTCCCAGAAAAACCTTTCCTGTGAAGCACGGAAAATGAATGCTGGAAACATCTGCAAGCGGCGCGGCAGTTTCAGACGCAGAGGAAGACACGAGCCTCGTGTCCTGCTCGGAGCCAAGCGAGGAGCTCGCAGCAAGGCAGGGAAGCCGAGCGCTGTGTGTTAATTATATCATAGCAGGCAGCGGCTGCGAGGCGCCAGCCCCGGGTGAGTGGAGCTATTTCCTCTGCCGAGCCCTGCGCTCCCCCTTCTCCTGCCCGGCTCGCATTGAAAAGCCTGGCCAGGGCGAATTCCTCCCAGAAAGACTCTTTTGGAGGAAACAAATGTGTATGCTCAATTTGGAAAGCACAATTAAGTCTACCCGGCTTCCTTCAGCCATCATCTTTAGTACGTTAAGAGGGTGTGAAATCAGTGCCAAGTCACAATTACACCGTCCCACAGCCCCACAAAGGATGCTCGGGAGATGCTTTGTGGGGTGGGCTGCAGCTGCGGGCCCGGCCCCGCTCCAACAGGTGCCTGCAGCACCTGCCCGAGGTGGCGCATCCCGGCACCTGGAGCCGGGCTCGGCCCGAGGCAGCGGGCAGCGGGCGGGCAGCTGCGGCAGGGAGGGATGCTCTGGGCTCCGGCAGGCTCACAGCCCCGCTCTATGACATTTTGGGGAATCGTGTGCCATCGCTGGCGGTCCGGCTCCAGGGCAGGCCCTGCACTCGCGACAGCAGCACAGATTTACGGGCCGGGCCTTGACCCTGCGCTGCGCTCCAGCCAAGAGGATATTTAAAGGACATTTTAGAGAGATGTGCCAAGAGGGTCTGGGAAACCCTTATCTTCCCAGATAACAGCCGGGCCGCCAATTCGCTGGGGCAGGAGAGCAGGGAAGCGGGAGGCGATAAGGGCGGGGGGAGAGGGACAAGAGGGGACGTTACCAGTGTGCGTCCGGATGTGGCCCTGCAGCAGCCAGGGTCGGGAGAACGCCTTCCCGCACATCTTGCAGACGCAGGGCAGCGTGTGGCTCCGGATGTGCATCTTGAGAGCCCCCAGGCTCACGTACTCCTTCTCACAGTACTTGCAGCTGAAGGATTTCCTGGCCTGGGCGTCGCAGTGCAATTGCTTGTGCTTGGAGAGCCCGGCGAAGGTGGAGTACGCCTTGGCACACTGGGCACAGCGGAAGCGCTCGGCGGCGGCGGGGGCCGAGGCCGGGCTGGGGGGCCCCGAGCTCTTGCCTTCATCCTCCTCGCTGGAGAGCGCCGTCAGGTCCAGAGCGGGGGCGGCGCCGCC